TTTGGATTTTTCACATTCTGCATCAGAACTTTGTTGTACATACCAATCTTCTGAAAAACCCACCTATTGGCCCACCGACCCAAATAAGATTCCAGACCTTCTGGATTTCTTTATTCTGAGGAAAATTTCACCAAACTATACGGAAGTAGAAGAAAATTTTGTTATGGATTCAGATCATTCTGCAGTAATCCTTACTCTAAGTGATAATGTTATTCAAAAAGAAGCCAAACCGCCCCTTGCAAATCGGAAAACTAATTAAGAAGGTTTTCAAGAGGACTTAACAAATACTATTCAACTGACCATAACACTAAAAACGAAAAATTAGCTAGATGAAGAACTGGAAAGGTTTATAGTTGAAATCCAGCAAGCTGCATGGAGGAACACACCAAAAGTAAGAAAATTAACAGCTGGAAAAAACTATCCTGTCGAGATAAGAGAACTGGTGGCAGAAAAAAGAAAACTAAGAAATTAATGGCAGATGACAAGATCACCAGAAGATAAAAATATATTAAATAGGCATAGGCGCCGGAATTCAAAAATTGCTTTGGGTGCCCGGCCTCTATTCGGGAAATGGGGACAATCCCCCACTCCACCCTCCACACCTCAGTTAAATGCACCACCGGTTTTTTAAAAGCACTTTAAAAGCTATTTGAAAGCGTTAACTTTATGAAAATATTCTTAAAAAAAAATATTATCACATATCCAATTGCTGGAGTTTGAGGATTGAAGCAGCAGACGGAGTATCAACAATCGGTAGGCTGGAGGCTTGAAGGCTCCCACCTAAATCGGGATATCTGGCAACCCTATATGCTCGGTGCAGCCACCACTGGTATTCAGTGGTGGCTGCAGTGCTAGAGTACCAATGAAATAAGTAGAATGAATATAAAACATTTATTAACTAATTTAGGAGATTTTTGATAATTTATTAAAATACATATAATGGAGTATTGTATATATACAGGGTGGCCATGCTAATTTTGTCGCACCCGGTTCCTTTACGAAAAAACGCTCGGATATTTATACGCTTAATATTTATAGAAAGTTAATAGTCATTCTTTTTTGACGTCATAGGGTTTTATACACCAATAATAATAAAAAGTCCAGGTTCAATGCATTGTCTATGACAAGTGACGGCGACTTTTTTATCACAAAAAATACAGCTCAGAACGATATTTTATCGAGGCATCCTGTCGCTATACCAACTTGGGCCATGACAGCTTCTTCATTTCACTTATTGGCATTTTTTGTCCACGTTGTGCTATGGGTGCTCCGCACCCAGTTTCAAACTGCTGTGGGTGCTTGCGCACCCAAAGCCCCGGGGATTCGGCGCCTATGTAAATAGGGCTACCCAAAGACTAAGAAGAGAAATCCTAAATCACAAAGAAGAATCCTTCAACAGATACCTAGTAGGGCTAACAGATGATAAAGAAACTGATTATTCACTCTGGAAGGCAACTAAAAAGATGAAAAATTCGTGTAAACACTGTCCTCCAATCAGAATAGCAGATAACAAATGGGCAAGAGACAATCAACAAAAAGCTGATATTTTCACTGACCATCTACAAAAGACGTTCCAATTAGATGAAAATCAAGACACTCCTAATGAGACCATCCATAATATGGAACAACTTGAAATTAAGCTAGTTACTCCCAATGAAGTTATGAAAAAAATTCAGACAAACATCAACTGACAGAAAGTCCCAGGATATGACCTTATTACTGGAGAAATATTAAAGAAACTATCACGAAAGGCTATTGTTAAATTGACATACCTCGTAAATGCAGCATTTCGCCTTAAATATATACCTGGAAAATTGCTGAAGTTATCCTAATTCCTAAGGCAGGAAAACCTCTGAATCATATAGACCTATATCATTGTTACCGATAATATCTAAGTTATTTGAAAAAATACTACTAACACGACTAAAACCAATAATTGAAGACAAAAATCTGATCCTTTCGCACCAATTTGGTTTTAGAAACAAACACTCGACAATTGATCAAGTACACAGGATAGCCGATATCATCGAAAAAGCTTACGAAGAAAAATATATATGCTCAGCTATATTTCTTGACGTAGCCCAAGCATTTGACAAGGTTTGGCACGCTGGCCTAATACAGAAACTTGAAAAAATGCTACCTAGACAAGTACCGTAGGGTACGAGGTGTAAAGGAGATAAGTGTTTTATTTTTATTTATTCTAGTATAGTGGCTACCTAGCAGTGACCGCCTGGAATTATTTTTACCTCCACTGAGTTTACCTTGAGTACACTCTGGTGTACTCCAGGGTCGCAGAGCAAACTACGATACCAAAACTGGCGCCTAAGCAACCCCTATTTCGGAATCACCATCATAACGCCACACAGACTCGCTGATTCACTGTAGGTGAACCAGAAGCCTGTCACAATATTATCTACAACTATCAATAAATAAAAAATAAGTTAATTGTTAGATATAAAAAAATATTCCTATATTCATATAATATTAACACTCCACTAAACCCCCAGTAGGCGGCGATAACCAATTAATTACTTTGCCAAATGATGACGTACCTATGTTCTTCTAATTGTAATCGGACCCTAGAATTATCTAATACCAAACAGAATAAAAATGGACTCAAGACCGAACCTTCTCACGAATGTTAACTAAAAACTTGATGTACCTACTGTCGATAAGAAACCGTAACATCTTAATTTAATTTAAATAACCTCAATAAAATCCATAAAGGTAACATTCGGAATAAAAAAAAACATTACAAATTCGTGGGTTCACCTTACTTGTAATAAGAAATCTTGTAGAATATCTAACGCATCGTGTTTGTGCGTTCACGTGTTGAAGCCAACAAGTTTCATTTAAATTATTATTTAGTAGATAAACATCTACATTCACGTGAGCATTAGAGGCTTGTTGAGAAAATTATAGTGTTTGTTAATTTGATGACGGGAATTTAATTACTTTTCAAAAATATTCGTCATGCATCTATATTATAAAGAATATACCTACCTGCAAGTTAATGTTTACGTCCAGTGGATTATAATACACATTCTCTGAGTTGAATGAAGTTCATGCAGTAGAAAAATTTTTATTTGACACTAAAAGTTATTTTTGCTATGTTTTATTATACTTAGTTTGCAGAGTAGCTCCAATTACACACTAAGAAAATATGAAAGAATGTGCAATATTGACAAGTTTTAGTTGTATTACATTTTAAGTAAACCTAAAACTACTACTAACATTAATCTAACAAATAGTCGAGTCAAAGATATCCATATTTTACTAAACCCTGTTATAATTTTTATCCCAAATTTTTACATATTTATTTTTTAATAAATATTTTAACCTGTCCATTTGTGTAATAGAATGATTGGAATATTACGTAAAAAAGGGGCTGATTGTAACAGTCGAAAAAAATAAGATAAACGTGTCTCAAACGCGCTTACCTTCTGTGCTGCATCATATGGTTCGTCGGATGAAGTAGGTGGTAGTATTAGTCCAGTAGCCAAGACCGGGCCCGGTTACACAATTTATATAACAACGTTTATTATACAGGATTTATAATAGCGGATTTAACGGCACATACACACCACAAAGCGTTCGTCGCGGCAATTTCTGTAGTACTCTCCGTCCAACGGCGTTTCACTTGTCTTACAGTCAGACGAAGCGCATGTGTGGGCCAAAGTTTTAAGTAAGCGATTTGAGACAAAGCGCGAATATTTAAATAATAAAATAGGAATTAATTCATTCTGGAACATTTCGATTACATTTCGAGCAAACCTATTACTACTCACATTAATCTAACAAATATTCTTTCAATAAAGGTAATTTAAAAAATCGTGCAGATGCCATCAAAAATTGATTTTGCTGATTTTCTTATAGATCCCATCATCAGATCTTGACCAAATGCATGTGAAACTACCTCCGAGGTACCCTCTTTCTAACAAAAAAGAATGTTAGAAATTGGTAAAGAATTATCGCTGAACATACATAAAAAAATATTATGATGAATTGAAAACCGCCTCCTATTTTTTAAGTCTGTTAAAAATATTGATATATTAACAATCCCTGTTATAGTATGGTGCTATTTGTAACAAAAGCGCTCTAGAAATGAATTCTGTAGGGAGCTAACTGTCACAAGCTGAATTGTTAATGAATTGAAAACTAATATTTTGGAGATTCTAAAACCGGAGTTAATTCAAAATTAGACCTTGCAGAAGGGCACTATTTTCAAAAAACGAGATATTGTTGCCATTGCATAAAGCGTAACTTTTACTACAATATTACCGCAAAATCCAAAAAGTCCCTTTACCAGTTACGTAAATGTATTATATTAAACATTTAAAAAACCTTTGGGGCTTACGACTCAAAAAAACTAAAAATGCGATTTTCTCGGTTTTATCCTTTTTATGTCTACAATATGAAATTAGCTAAGCAAGCTTTCTAAACACCAAAAGTTACTCTTTATAAAAGTTTCTAAAATATGTTTAGATCATAACAAAAATCAACCAAATTTTTCTGTCTTATGATAATCAACTTATGGCAATTATTACACAAAGCTATTGACTATGGGAAAAGTGGCCATTGCACAAATTTAGGCTGGCACAAAAATTGTTACATTAATTCCAGTAAAAAAAAATATTAAATATTTAGAAAAAAGTAAGTAGACAAGCAGAATATGATCATACGGCGTGCCATCACCTTTTGTAGTGGACAAAATTCTTCGAATAGAAACGTTTGACATAAATAGGTGCGTCATTTGTCAAAAACGCCTTGCTCAAAAAAGAGAGTCGCAGGTAATAACAAAAAACATTGAAAACAAAATTAAACATATTGCCACTTTTTCCTCTGATGTCCTACAAAGTATAGGAACAAATGATCTAATAGCAATAAAAGCTAAATATCACCCAGATTGTCGGGTAATCGATTTGAGAAAGAAGAAATGTCAAATTCAAATTTAAAATGAATCCTTAAAAAGGAACGTTGTTAACGACAAACCATTTCAGCATATATTACAATATGTAAAAGCTGGAACGGAAAAAGGAAAGTGCTTTTCCACAACATCTATATTTAGCAAATATAAGGCCCTTGGCGGGTTAGACTCAAAGCGAACTATAATTAATCATCTAGAAAGGACTCTAGCTGGACAAATTGGCATTGTAAGGTCCAAAAAGGCAAACGTACCTTCAGTTGTTTTACCTCCTATTGATCAATCTGAAACCGTTCACGCATATATAGAAGAAGCTTCGTCATCAGATTATACACCTATGTTTACAGTTACTTCCGAGTTAGCTCAGGTCATAAAAAATTGCACCGATATCAATTCTCAGTTAGATAAAATTCCAAACATAGATAACTACTCCGATTTATAGATAAGTTCGTATCGAAAGTTGATACCGGAAGCTCTTTTATGGATAATTAGTTTATTTATTGATACAGACAAAGAAGATACAGCTGTTGTTAATAAATGCCAAGATATTATATATAAACGGTTTAATGGTAAAAAAATGACACCGAAACATATAGGACTAGATATTATTGATACATCAGGAGACTCGTTCCAAAAAGCTGATTGAAACTCTTTACACTTGTTGTCATACCATTTTATACAAAGACGTTTTAAGATTAAGAAACAACATAGCTCAAGAAGAAATAACAAGGTTCTTAGACAATCAAAATTGTTATATTTCTCGATAGCTTTTACCAGATAAGTTAACACAATTTGCTGCAGATAAATCTCCGACTTTCCATGGTACACAAATAGTAGCTTTTCAAACAGAAACAATAGCAACAGAAACATATAAATAGAGTTACACTCACTCACTTGGGTCCCGGGACATAACGGGGTACAAGGTAACGAGATTGCAGATAGTCTTGCAAATAAAGGGGCTCAAACACCCTTTGTAGGACCTGAGCCGTTCTGCGGTATTAGCAGTAACATAATATTAGGAGAGATTAAAAAAGAATTGGGCCGTAGAAGAACCGATAATTGGAACAATCTCTTGGGGCTGAGACAGGCCAAGATACTTCTGGATGAATATAACCAGAAAATATCGGAAGCCTGCATCTGCCTGAGCAAGAACAGGCTACGTATTGTAACAGGGATCCTTACCGGGCATGCCGACTAAAAGGACACCTAAGTAAACTAAGAGTAGTAGAGGATAGTGAGTGCAGATTTTGTGAAGAGGAGGACGAAACCTCCATTCAAATCCTAACTGAATGTCCCAGACAGCACAACTCAATCCATTGGATGTCCATCGGAAGTCCATTCATGGACATATCGGCTGTCCAAAGGACGTCCAGCATTTTACCAAAGGACATCCAATGGACATCCACTGGACTATACAAATGTCCCACTCATGGACATCCATTTGGACTCCATGAAAGGTCCATATATGGACTCTTTTTGTATTGCTTTTGGACAATTTATGGACATCTGACGGACATCACCACCTATAGGTATTAATATAAAATAAAATAATTGCGAACTATGGACTTATTTTTATTGTCATAAATAATATCAAGCATATATTAGTTTTATACGCACTCCTTTCTATTGACCTTCTCTGTCATTTTCTTAAGGCTATTTCGCTTACTTTTTAAGCTGCACCATTGTCACTCTCAGCAGCAGCTAAAAAAGACATTACATTTTATACAAATATTGAGTCTTATATCAATCGTCTAATACACGCCTGATCAGGCAAAAGTGATAGTTAAAAATGTAAAACTTTTAGATAAAATGTTATTAACTAATATGAAAACATGCATTCACTAATGTACTTTAACTCTATACTTACATATAAACAAAAAACTGCTCATTATTTCTTAAATTACCATTTTACTTTCATACCATCATATTATGCGAATTCTTTTGTGAGAATATTAGAAATTATGGAAACAAAACATCTTTTTATAAGTTCGTCATGTCCGTGTCCCTGGTTTTGGTAACTGCTGAATCTAAAATTGCAATAAAAATATATATTTGTCAACATTAAAGAGAAATAACTTATGAAACCACTTTCAATGCATTAATTCTTAAACGTTACAAAACGATTCTATTTTAATAAAAGTAAAACTTACAGCTTCTTTAAAAATATTTGTATCTTCTAAATAGCCCCTTCTGCTAATGTCTCATGCCATACAAATAGAAACTTGAATTTTTTTCTTCTCCTTTGAAAGTTTTCTCACCTCTTGGTTACAATAATAATTGTGTTGACATCATCTCGAATTTGCAGCATATAAGTTAGCTTTTAGTAAAGCCATTTTCTTAAATAGGTAGGTAAATCATTTGACAAAAGTTCTAAAAGAAAGGTATTCTTTGAATGTAAATCGAAAACATAAAGTTTAAAATATAATTGATAGGTTATATTAGTTTAAAACAAACGATTTGCTTTTTAATTTTTAGATTTTTAAATGATTTAATTAATAAATATACTTACTTTCTTACCAGATGTGCTACATATAGGCTGTGTTTTCTTCTTATCAATCTTAACCTCATTCTTCTTTTCTTCTTCGAGTCTGGCCTGAGTGGCCTTTTACTTTTCTATCTTGTCAACAGAGGTGAGATAAGAGAAAAATTATTTGATTTATTTTAATTAAAACCTAGTAGTAAATAATTAAATTATACAAGAAGAATTATAATAATTTATTTTAAGTTAGTCATTTTTATAGTGTCCATCATGGACATTATGGACATTTTTTGGACATCCATTGGACTTCTGAATGGGTATATCCATTGGATAACGGAAAACGGATGTCCAATGAATATCCATATGAAGTTCATGGACATCCAGGACATTATTTGGACAAAATATGGATGTCCAATGGACGTCGTGTGCTATCTGGGGTGTAGCACTCCAGAATCCAAGGGCACTATATCTAGGAGGATATCAAAGAGAAGAGGGAGATTTACCTAACTTGAAGCCACTTCAAATCCTACACTTCCTTGAGAAAATAGGATTGGAAGGGTCGCTATAGGCATTGAGACATTTCCTTAGTGCAGTGGCGACAGAAGGGGGCACAATAGATCTTTTAGGTCGCAGTGTATTAACACCCCATTCTCAACATAACATAACATAACAGAAACATATATAAAGATTAATATTCTTCTTTATCACATCAAGTTAAACATTCCTGAGAATTTTCACGAATTACTAAAGTTACCATATAATTAAGTTGAGAACTCTTTCAGTTAGATATTTTATCGTTTAAATTTTACTTGTGGCACATTAATTGTTTTCAATATTAATAATATTAAATTTACTTAAGAATCCTATTTTAAAAGTCATATATTATATTGTACAGGATGTCCCAATTTGTATGAAAAAAAAAAAAAAAACTGAGACAGATTATATATTTTAACCAAAAAGGTTAATATTAGCAATAATCTGATCTCGATCAGTAGCAAAGTTACAGGTGGTTCAAAATTTACAGAAATAATACATTTCTCGTTTTTTGAAAATAGTGCCCTTCTATAAGGTCTAATTTTCGATTACCTCCAATTTTGGAATCTCTGAAATATAAGTTTTCAATAAATTAACAATTTAGCTTGTGACACTTAGCCACCCACAGAAAGCATAATTTCGTTTGACTAGCACTACACTATTATAATTTTTACATAGTCTTTTTATGCCAATTTTTTACACATTCATTTTTAATAAATATTTTAACTTTGCTTTCTGCCGGGATTCTTTCCAAACAATATTTAGTTGGCTGCTTCCTCCAATTTTCACTTCAATGAATTCGTTTTTATTAGTTCACTCCAGAGTTTTGGAGCATAAAATGGTTTTCAGGCCCTTCTTTTGAGATGCTCTGATGACCTGTCACCCACAAATATTTTATTTATAGCTATTTCTTTCTCAAAATACTCATTCTAAAAAAGGATATTGGATTAATTTTATGACTACAGTAGATATTAATTATTTTAATGTTGTTTTCTAATTTTGAAACCGTAATGAAAGGCTTTGAAGCATTTTTTGATCCAAATATAACCACAATTCCGTTTTATTATTCATCTTTTCTAAGATACATGAACTATGTGTGAAACACTCCCCAAACTTTCGTAAGTTACCAAAATAGAGCTTTCAAATAACTTATAGTCTGCTACACAAACACATAAGCAACTATTAATAGCTTTTAAAAACCTCGGTGAATGAAATTTTTTTTGGCACGCCCCACATCTAACAAACGGCTAAATATTCATAAATCATTACCGTCGGACTCATTAAATTATGCCTTATCTTCAATTCCGACTTTCAAAAATAACCATGAAAACTGTTTCCTTTAACTTTAGTTGGGACTCGTTTAATTTGTAATTTAAAAATGAATAAAACATGCTACGTAGGTTTCGGGGACAGGCAGCACAAATTTGATTTACGTCAACCCTTTGGCCCGAAATTCTAAATTTAAGTTGGGTGAAATTAAAATTGGATTAAGGTTAGCGTACAGAATGTCCCTAAAAGGTTTTTTTAATTAGGCCACTTTACAAATCAAAATAAATGGGATATACCAAAATATGATAGTAGTAGGGGAGACAGTGAAAATTTTTGGTACATATTTGCGCAATGCACATTTACAAATTTTTTGTTCATTCTTGTCTTGTAGAAGATGGAAATGAATCAGCGGTGGAGCCCTCCATGATTATTTCTTAAAAAATAGTACAAAATAATTAGCTGAAAGATTTACTGATTGCCTAACTTCAGGGGTTATATTATAATAAGTAAAGTGTATTTAAAATAAATATACATCAGTAGTCGTATCTTTTATTCTAAATTAGAATAACCAGGAATTGAACTCGAGTCATAAAATTTAAAGTATTTCCATGTTCTACAAGGTAAGAATGAACAAAAAATTTGTAATTTTGCCTTACTTAAATAACACACCCTTGCTGTCACACTACTCCGTTTGAAGCGTGGCCGCACTGCAACCTGCAACTTATTGTGTCACCATTTGAAATTTCTACAGCTTTCCCATTCACTCATTCATTCACCGCCTATCATCCCACGTCTTAGGTGGTTAAATGTTAAAGGTGGCCCTTAGTGCACACTATTCTAGAGGCTAGCCTATCCAGAAAAAATTATTTCAAATAGCAATAAAAAATAAACAAAAATAAACTAATGCCATGTCTTTAATTTTAGAATCAGAATTTTTTTACCGCGCTCGAAATTAATGTATAACATTCGCAAAGATTAATTAAACAATATTGACTTACCATGCATGTATAACATTTCCGGTAGAAATCGATACGCTATGCAATATTTCCATAGTTTATTTGATGACTGAAGCCATCTATAATAACTATTGTTGATTTTTAACTATAAAACTCTCAACGTTTGTATTTATTGATAGTGATAAATACACCTATCACAACAAC